GGTAAAGTCACGTAGGTATAAAAATAAAATAAAAAAACTTTTTTCTAAAATAAATAAAAATAATGAAAATATTCAAATAATTAATTAAATCACGACGTTTCGGAAGCAACACAAGCTTCCGTCATCAGGTGGGAAAACCACAGCAAGAAATACAAATTAAATTGTCCACTACAGTAATTGTATTTCTTGCTGTCGTTTTCCCACCTAATGACGGAAGCTTGTGTTGCTTCCGAAACGTCGTGATTTAATTTATTTTATTATTATTTAAATTTAAAAAAATGCATTAAAAAGTTGTTTATTTTATTTGATATCTATGGGTAAAGTTAAGTCGATGGACAATTTTTAGTCAATGGTCAATTATAGGCTATGGTCAATTATAGTCTCTGGGCAATGCTAGTCGTCTTGATTTAAATCTTTCGTGACTGCAGGGATTTATATTCTTGGTTCTTTCGGTAAAGTCATCACGTAGAAGGGCAATAATAAAATAATATAAAACAATAAAATGTGATTATTTCCCTTCTACGTGACTTTACCGAAAGAACCAAGACTATATAATGCGAGTCGTCCGTTGGTTTGCAAATGTGAGTCGATGGCCAATGATAGTCGATGGGTCTGTGGACCAGAAAGTCAGCGACACGACACGAACTCTCTCTCTCTCTCTCGTCATGGGCAGCAGCAGCAGCAGCAGAAGAACCTCAACATCTTCTTGGTTCTTTCGGTAAAGTCACGTAGAAGGGAAGTAATAAAATAATAAAAATAAAACATAATAAAATAATTCTCACAACGTTTTATTTTTATTATTTCATTACTTCCCTTCTACGTGACTTTACCGAAAGAACCAGAAGATGAATCCCTGCAGTCACGAAAGCTTTAAATCGAAAAATAGAACCTCAAGAGTTGCCCATCGAACACCTGAATTACAACAACGCCACTGCCGCCGCTGCTGCTGCTGCCTTGTAGACAAAGACCGGAATGGAATTCACGGAAACGTGATGAACAATGATTCGTATTCGAGGTTTTTTTGTGGGTTAGATCAGCGGTCCCCAACCCTGTTTTGTTGCCAGAAAAAAAAAAATTACTCGTAAAAACTAAGTTTTTCACTATAATCCTTTATATGCGTGGCGGCTAGAGGTCCTCTCGTCCTCTGGCTGAGATAGCTGCCACCTATGGGTCATATGATTGCCTGCCACCATTAAGCAATTGGTAATTAAATATGATAAAAAATAATTTCCTAAAAAGTGTAAAGTTATGGAAAAAAATGTTGACGAAAATTAATTGTCACGCACAACGAGTCTGTGTGCAAAATGTCAGCTCGATTGGATCACGGGAAGTGGGTTACAAAACGACCGAAAGATTGGCACGGTCGTAAGCGCGCAAGCAAGCAGCAAGCAAGCGCACTTAATATAAAGGATTTAAAGAGGGGAAAAACCCATGATCAACACCTGTGAAAGCCTCCCACTTGTTACGATGATTACGATGATTATATTGCGATGTTATTGAAACGAGTTTGTGCGAGGGCTAGGGGCTACTTTGGGATGCTGTAGCCAAATAGGGATGGCTTCATCAGCCCAGAAGTTCAATTCTCCGTGTCGCACACGGCTGCCGTTTTGTAGATGCAAGCCCACGACCACATTCTCACATTCAGGCGGTCAAAGCCGCATGGTGATACGTTGCACTATGCTCTGGTCTGCTAACGGAGAGTTTGCAATTTTCTATCTGTGCATCTGCTGCGGTTTCTGGTAATCGAATCGCAATCACTCACTTCACCCAGCGAGCCACCTCACCCGCCCCGTTTCACCAACTCACTCATCCCCTCACTCATCCTCCTCCTCCTCCACCACCTCCACCACCTCCACAACCGCCAGGAATGACGCGTTTCTGTAAAGCGCTTTTTGAAGGTGCGACCACTTGACCACCCCCACTCAATCCTCCCCTCCATTCCAACCCTCCCCACTCCACCCCCCCAGCTCAACCCCACCCCACCACTCCCACTCCACCCCCGTTACACCCCCCTGCTCACCCCCACCTCATTCCAACCCCCCCCTATTCCAACCCCCCACTCCCCACTCCCACTCAACCCACCCCCCCCGCTACACCCCCCCCCCCCCACTCACTCCTCCCCACTCCAATCCCCCCTACACCCCCCTGCTCAACCCCCCCCCCCACTCCACCCCCCCACTCCATTCCCCCCCCTACACCCCCCCACTCAACCCCTCCCCACTCCACCCCCCTTACACCCCCACCCCCCCTACACCCCCCTTACACCCCCACCCACTTCCACCCCCCTTACACCCCCCCCCACTCAACTCCACTCTCCCCCTCTACAACCCCCCCACTCAACCCCCCCCCCTACTCCACCCCCCTTACACCCCCCCACCCCACCCCCCTTACACCCCCCCCACTCAACCCCCCCCACCAACCCCCCCCCACCCCACCCCCCCCTTCCCCCCCCACAGAGATCGTCAACTACAACTGCCGCCAGCTGGTGGCGACGATGCCGCTGTTCGCCACGGCCGACCCGCCTTCGTCACGTGCGTGCTCACCAAGCTGCGCTTCGAGGTCTTCCAGCCGGGCGACCTGGTGGTGCGCGAGGGCACCGTGGGCACGCGCATGTTCTTCGTGCAGCACGGCCTGCTCAGCGTGCTCTCGCGAGGCGGTGGCGGCGGTGGTGGCGGTGGCGGTGGAGGTGGCGGTGGCGGTGGTGGCGGTGGTGTGGGACACCAAGCTGTCCGACGGATGCTACTTCGGAGGTGAGTGAGGTACGGAGGAGGCGGGGTGGGGGGTAGGGAGGGAGGGAGGGGGGAGGGGGAGGCAGGGAGGGGGGAGTAAGGAGGGAGGGAGGGAGGGGGGAGGGGGAGGCAGGGAGGGAGGGAGTAGGGAGGGAGGGGGTAGGGAGGGAGGGGGGAGGGAGGGAGGGAAGGGGTAGGGAGGGGGTAGGGAGGGAGTAGGGAGGGAGGGGTAGGAGGGAGGGGGGAGCAGGGAGGGAGCAGGGAGGGGGTAGTAGGGAGGGACAGAGTGAGTGTTAGGAGCTGTGTGCAGCATTGAGTCCGAGTTGTCAACGTGCTTCATGGGGGAGCGACGGGCGGGCGGGGGGCACATGGACTCATCGCCTCTCAACTCACAACTCGCACACCGCCATCACTCACCCCCCCCCAGTTTATACATCCCACGTGTAACCTTCTCCCCCAACCACCCCTGCCCCCCTGCCCCCCCACTCCACCACCGCCGCTGCCGCCACCCAGCCGCAGAGATCTGCCTGCTGACGCGCGGGCGGCGCACGGCAAGCGTGCGCGCGGACACCTACTGCCGCCTCTTCTCGCTCTCCAGCGAGCACTTCGCCGCCGTGCTCGAGGAGCACCCCGTGATGCGCCGCGCGCTCGAGAGCGTCGCCATCGACCGACTCAACCGCATCGGTGCGGCGGACGCAAACCGCGGCAACGCACCACCAACCCCCAACCCCCAACCCCGACTCCACCACCACTTGTTCGATGAAGTAGCCGCACACTGATCCACCTACTCACTCACCCACTTACCCACTCACTGACCCACTCACTGACCTAACCACTCACTCACTGACCCACTCACTGACCTACCCACTCACCCACTTACCAACTCACTGACCCACACACTGACCTAACCACTCACCCACTTACCCACTCACTGACCCACACACTGACCTAACCACTCACTCACTGACCCACTCACTGACCTACTCCCTGACCTACCCACTCACCCACTTACCCACTCACTGACCCACTCCCTGACCTACCCACTCACCCACTTACCCACTCACTGACCCACTCACTGACCTAACCACTCACTCACTGACCCACTCACTGACCTACTCCCTGACCTACCCACTCACCCACTTACCCACTCACTGACCCACACACTGACCTACCCACTCACCCACTTACCCACTCACTGACCCACTCACTGACCTAACCACTCACTCACTGACCCACTCACTGACCTACCCACTCACCCACTTACCCACTCACTGACCCACACACTGACCTAACCACTCACCCACTTACCCACTCACTGACCCACACACTGACCTAACCACTCACCCACTTACCCACTCACTGACCCCTCACTGACCTACCCACTCACCCACTTACCCACTCACTGACCCACTCACTGACCCACTCACTGACCTAACCACTCACCCACTTACCCACTCAACTGACCCACTCACTGACCTACCCACTCACCCACTTACCCACTCATCTGACCCACTCACTGACCCACTCACTGACCTACCCACTCACCACTTACCCACTCAACTGACCCACTCACTGACCTAACACTCACCCACTTACCCACCTCACTGACCCACACACTGACCTAAACCACTCACCCACTTACCCACTCACTGACCCACACACTGACCTAACCACTCATCCACTTACCCACTCACTGACCCACACACTGGACCTAACCACTCACGCCACTTACCCACTCACTGACCCACACACTGACCTAACCACTCACCCAACTGACCCACTCCACTGACCCACTCACTGACCTACCCACTCACCACTTACCCACTCACGACCCACTCACTGACCTAACCACTCACCCACTTACCCCTCACTGACCCACTCACTGACCTACCCACTCACCCACTTACCCACTCACTGACCCACTCACTGACCTACCCACTCACCCACTTATCCACTCACTGACCCACTCACTGACCTACCCACACTCACCCACTTACCCACTCACTGACCCACTCACTGACCTACCCCACTCACCCTTACCCTCTCACTGACCCACTCACTGACCTACCCACTCACCCACTTACCCACTCACTGACCCACTCACTGACCTAACCACTCACTCACTGACCCACTCACTGACCTACTCTCTGACCTACCCACCACCCACTTACCCACTCACTGACCCACACACTGACCTACCCACCACCCACTTACCCACTCACTGACCCACTCACTGACCTAACCACTCACTCACGACCCACTCACTGACCTACCCACTCACCCACTTACCCACTCACTGACCCACACACTGACCTAACCACTCACCCACTTACCCACTCACTGACCCACACACTGACCTACCCACTCACCCACTTACCCACTTCACTGACCCACTCACTGACCCACTCACTGACTAACCACTCACCCACTTACCACTCACTGACCCACTCACTGACCTACCCACTCACCCACATCTACCCACTCACTGACCCACTCACTACCCACTCACTGACCTAACCACTCACCCACTTACCACTCACTGACCCACTCACTGACCTACCCACTCACACCCATTACCCCACTCACTGACCCACTCACTGACCACTCACTGACCTAACCACTCACCCACTTACCCACTCACTGACCCACTACACTGACCTACCCACTCACCCACTTACCCCCCTGACCCACTCACTGACCCACTCACTGACCCTCACTGACCTACCACTTCACCCACTTACCCACCTCACTGACCCACTCACGTGACATACCCACATCACCCCACTTACCCACTCACTGACCGCACATCACTGACCCACTCACTGACCTAACCACTCACGGCCACTTAAACCAGCTCACTGACCCACTCACTTTGACCTACCCACTCACCCCACTTACCCACTCACTGACCCACTCACGTGACGCTAAACCAGCTCACCTACTTACCCACTCACTGACCCACTCACTGACCTACCCACTCACCTGACACTTACCCACTCACTGACCCACTCACTGACCTAAACCACTGGCACGCCACTTAACCACCTCACTGACCCCACTCACTGGACCTACCCACTCACCCACTTACCCACTCACTGACCGCACTACTGACCTACCCATCTCAACCCCACTTACCCACTTCACTGACCCACTCACTGACCTACCCACTCACCCACTTACCCTCGCACTGACCCAGCTCACTGACGCTACCCAAGCTCACCCACTTACTCCACTCACTGGGACCCAACTCACTGACCTACCCACGTCACGCCACTTACCCACTCACTGACCCACTCACTGACGCTACCCACTCTACCCCACTTACCCACTCACTGACCCACACACTGACGCTACCCACTCACCCACATTACTCCACTCCCTGAACTACCCCACTGACCCACCTGCCCACTCACCTAACCACTCACGCCACTTACCACTCACTGACCCACTCACTGACCTACCCACTCACTGACTACCCACTCACTTACCTACTCCATGACTCCCTCACTGACCTACCCACTCACTTACCTACTCACTGACCCACTCCTTACCTACCCACTCACTACCTACTCACTGACCCACTCACTTACCTACCCACTCACCCACTTACCCACTCACTTACCTACTCACTGACCCACTCACTTACCTACCCACTCACTTACCTACTCACTGACCCACTCACTTACCTACCCACTCACCCACTTACCCACTCACTTACCTACTCACTGACCCACTCACTTACCTACCCACTCACTTACCTACTCACTGACCCCTCACTTACCTACCCACTCACCCACTTACCCACTCACTTACCTACTCACTGACCCACTCACTTACCTACCCACTCACTTACCTACTCACTGAACCCACACACTGACCTACCCACTCACCTCACTTACCCACTCACTGACCCACACACTGACCTACCTACTCACTGGACCCACCTAACCCACTCACCCACTCACTGGACCTACCCACTGACCCACCCTAACCACCCACTCACGCAGGCACTCACCCAACCACTCATATACTGCTCCAATTCACTCACCTACCCACTCACTCAGCTACCCGCTGAATCACCCACCCACTCACCTACCCACTCACTCACCCACTGACTCACCTACCTGGTAGCCAGATGGCTTGCAGAGAACCTCTGTCTTGGAGAAGAGTCAATGTCATGTGAGCCCCACTGGATTATAACAATGATCTACCACGGCCGAGGTGTCGGTCCTACCGTGTTTCAAGTCTGCTTTGTGCTCACGGATGCGGTCCGAGACATGTCGTTTGGTTTCTCCAATGTAATACTCCCACAGAGTCAACTCAGTTTTAGACGCCAGGGTACTGTATGTTCGGAATCACATCTTTTATAGACGGAACCAGATACGGATTTATGTAATGTGTTGAATCGGACCTGGATCTTGTGTTTATTCAAGATTTTGGAGATATTTTTTGGTTTTGATGGGCTCCTCAAGAGGGTCCTTCTTCATGGTTGGAGTGATGGCTTTGCGGATTGTGTAGGCGGAGTAACCATGCGCCTTAAGAGATTGGTGTACGTGCTTGAGTTCACTGGCAATGTGTTCCTGGTCAGAGATGCATTGGGCTCTATGGTGCAGAGTCTTGATGAGGGAATTCTTCTGGGATGGATAGTGGTGGGAATCCGGTTTCAGGTAAGCACTGGTATGGGTGGCTTTCCTGTAGACAGAGTGGCTCAGTGAACCATCAGGTCTCTTTTTTATTAGGACATCCAAAAAAGGTAACGTGCCATATTTTTCGACTTCCATGGTGAATCTGATGGCTGGGTGTATGGAATTTGATGTGGTCGAGAAATTGGTCTAGAGCAGGCCAGCCATGTGGCCAGATGATAAGTGAAGTATGTATTGGTTAGCAGTGTCTCACCAGGGGGGGTACCCCAGTGTTCAGTCCTTGATGAACCAAGTCTTCAATGATTGCGATGGTGTCAGGTACAGGAACTTTGGTGAATAAGGAACCACATCAAAACTGACAAGCAGGTCCGTCTGGGGACAGGGTAAATACCCTTGATTGTCGATACCAGGTCCAGTAGAGTTTAGTACCGCAGAGGTGTTTTTTTCAGTGAAAGGCGCCGCAGGATTTCAGACGTTGTTGTTTTTGTTATGATGATGTTGTTGTTGATGTCCTTATTTGTTGATGTCGTCATCGTTGATATTGTTATTGTGATAATGTCTTTATTGTTTATGATGTCGTTGTTGATGTCGTTGTTGATGTCGGTATTTGTTGATGTTGTTATTGTTGTTGTTGATGTCGTCATCATTGATATGTCATTGTTGATAATGTCGTTATTGTTGATGATGTCGTTGTTGATGTTCGTTATTTGTTGATGTTGTTATGTTGGTTGTTGATGTCGTCATCGTTGATATTGTCATCGTTGATAATGTCGTTATTGTTGATGATGTCGTTGTTGATGTCGTTATTTTTGATGTTGTTATTGTGGTTGTTGATGTCGTCATTGTTGATATTGTCATTGTTGATAATGTCGTTATTGTTGATGATGTCGTTATGAGACCTCTTTTACCAGTGGCAAAATATAGTAGTAGGTTTTTACCCTTTTTAACTGGTACAAAACTGACACCTTTATACAATGCATCATGTTTGCAATAACCACAACACAAGTATTCAAAAAGGCATACAAAAAGAAGCAACTCTGATAATGATAATAATATGCACTGTCCTTGAAGTTGATTGGTCCACACCCGAGATGGCGTCATCTGGTCCAACACCAATGGGGACTAGGCTCTAAAGAAAGCCGTCTCGGGTGTGGACCAATCAACTTCAAGGACAGTGCATATCATTATCATCATCAGAGTTGTTTCTTTTTGTTTGCATTTTGACTACTTGTGTTGTGGTTATTGCAAACATGATGCATTGTATAAAGGTGTCAGTTTTGTACCAGTTTAAAAGGGCAAAACCCTACTACGATGATGTCGTTGTTGATGTCGTTGTTGATGTTATTGTTGATGTCGTTATTTTTGATGTTGTTATTGTTATCGATGTTGTTGATGTCGTCATCGTTGATATTGTCATTGTTGATAATGTCGTTATTGTTGTTGATGTTGTTGTTGATGTTGTTGTTGATGCCGTTGTTGATGTCGTCGTCGTCGTCGTTGTCGCCGCACCGCAGGCAAGAAGAACTCGATCCTGCTGCACAAGGTGGAGCATGACATGAGCACCGGGCTGTGCGGCGCCCACGAGCGCGAGATGATCCGCACCATGGTACGCCGCGACCGCGAGATGATGCTGGGCGCCAACGTCGCCAACGCCTCGTTCACCTCCTCCTCCTCCTCGCCCCCCCTCCTCGTCTCCTCCTCGCCACGGACGCTCGCTCGCCGAGCTCGCCCCTTCGCTCGCCGCTCCGCGGCCGTCTCCGTCGCCTCGTG